TAACAAGCTCTCCAGTAACTTTCATGTTGCATGCCCAGCATCCACCTCAGGCTATTCCCGAGTGCCAGTTACTTCCTTACACGGGAGTCTGAGACTAGAAGCATCCATCCCTTGACTGTAGAATGGAATCATTAGCTGATTGCTTGGGGTCAGCCCCAAGATCACTCATTTCCAAGCAAGAGCGGCAGAGCTGTAGACTTCTCTTCCATATTCAAATATCTACTAACTTGTAATGCCCGTTTGAAGGAGGAGTCTAACCTGAAACTTCATTGGGAGGCGTCTAAGAATAAGATTGCAAAGACAAACATTTGCCTTTTGTTCTTTCCTTTGCTTCCAAAATGGGCTGTGCATATCTAGCAGCGGGGTATCCCTGGCTTTGTTTACAACCCCTGGGTGACCTGAAAGAGCTCTCAGCTCAACAATAATGGAAATAGAATCAGGGGAATCAACTGCCTCACTACAGATGGGGCCTGGTTTTCCCAAACTTTTCTTGTATTCAGATAAGGCCCGGAGTTTCAGCTATCATGTATGAACCAGAGCTTCTGGCTTCCTGGGAAAATCTCCCAGTTTAATCAACAATCTGATAGAATGCCTTTAATAGGATTATCAACTCCATTTAGTTAAATTGAGGAGCATTAAGATGAGAGACAAGGCTCTCTAGTTGGAAAGGATCTATTCCATCAACGCTGAGACTGGTATGTATATAGCCTAAGAGAGTATACCATGGTATTTTTCTGTATACAGTCTTTCACCTGAAAGCAAGGCCCTATGAATTATTTTCCTAGCAATGGGAATCGGGTCCCAAGGACTTTTCTGTACCCTGTACACCTCTCTTCTACCATAATCTGTCCTGAGAGTCACAGTTTGTTTGTTCCAGGCAATACCTGGCCATGTACACAGGCATTTCAGGAGGAAGAGATGTTACTGCTATTTAGTGGAGACAGGTCAGGAGTGCTGGTCACCCTCCCAAAACAACGAATTACCAGTCTCAGAATGTCCAAGTTTCCCAGAGTTGAGACATTGTAATTGAACAACACAAACTGAGGACCCAGGAGCCCAAACTCGTGACTTCTTTCTTTCTTTTTGGCAGTTGTTTAGGTGAATCTTTGAGTCTATACCATAGATCTCCAAAGAGCAAAATACTAGTCAGCATCTCTGAATTCTCTCTAGTTCCCTTGGCTCCACTGCTTTAGTGGCCAGAAGTCAATGAGACTCTCTTCTTAGTAACATTAGTAGCCCCTTTGCCCAGCATCTGCATCATTAGACACAGCCTCTTCTTTCCTCTTACCTTTATGTTTCTTGCCTTCCATGTCACCTGGTCTCAACCTTCTCCCTTATTTTACCTGTTACCATCAAATCCAGACCTACTGTCTTCTTTGGTTATTTTGATTCTCAGACTTCCAACAGACAACGTGAAACCTGTGATTTTCAGCTCTGCTTTTAACTCACAAAGTTTTATCTTAGATCTAGAGTTCAGAGTTACGGACTCATATTCCCAACTATCCCCCAATTTCTCATTGATAGTGTTATAAGCATTTGCAGTCTCATTTGTCCTAACTGAATTTGTCATGTCCCCATCAATTCTTCTCCTCAGTATCCTTCCCTACCCAGGGGCAGAGTAGATTCCCACGGGCTTTTGTCTCTTGATCACTTGCACCCTGGCAGGCCGCCCATCAAGGGCCCAGAAGTCAGTTCTCAAAGCATCTACGTAAACTTCATTGGTTCTTCTCCATCACGGGTTGAACTACAGCCACCTCTCTCATGTGCCTTGCTTTAGCTTTTTAATTGGTTAAATGTTCCTCTGTGTTCCTTCCATCCAACCCACCACACAGCTAAAGGGATGGTTTGGATGCAAAGCTGATCTTGCTGCTTCCTTTCTGAATTTTTCCTCTCATTGTTCTGATGTTGAGGATCACAGTTCTTGGGCTAGACATTACCTGACTCAGCAGACCTCGCCAGTCCCACTTGCTGGGCTTGTGTCCAGGAGTTTAGTCCCCTTTCTGGCCAACAAAAGCCACCTATTCACCACCAGCTGCTGTCTTCACCCACAACATCCCTTCTGCCTAAATGATCTTTCTTTTCCTGTGGAAAGGGAGGAGCCTTTCCATAGTTTCTGAATTTTCTTCCCTTAAGACATAGTTTCCAATGCATGCCATTTATTAATAGTTTTCTAGAGAGGGAAGCCCTTATTTCATTAGATAATCCTACAGTGATTGAAAATTGTTATTGATTTTAAAATGTTTAATTTGAAGAGTTGCTAAATAGATAGGATCAGAAAGTTCAAAGTTCCTTATAGATGGTTTATAATTCATTTTACTTTGTTTTCCTTCCTAAAATTGCAATCACATAACTTCTGAATATGTATATCAGCTCTCTGAATATGCACTTTAACAGACTGTATTTACCACAAAGTCTTCTAGGCCTGGACCAATACCTGACACAAAGCAATATTAAATAAGTATTTGATGAATGAGTAAAAAATATTAATTATGAAACATTATTGAAATAATAGTAAATAAAATAATGAAAGGAAATGATATGCTTAATCCAGAATTGTCCTAGCAATTGTGCCACAACAAACTGTCACAAATGTAGTGCCTTAAAACAAAGCAAACCCAGTCTCTCCTGGGACTCAGAATTCCCAAATCTGTCCAGAGACAATCAAGGCGCTGGGGGCGCTACTGCATTCTGGAGGCCCTGGGAGAGGGTCCACCACCTGCCTCTTTTCACCTTTCAGTGGCTCAACTTGTGCCCCTTTTCTATCTCAAAGTAGAGCCTCTTGCTTCTGCTTCACTGCCATGCTGACTTCTCTGACCTCCACGTCTTGTGCTGCCCTTCATGAGGGCTTTTGTGAGTGTCTCAGGTCTGTCTTGATAGTCAACGAACATCTCTCTCATCTCACGACCTTCCGTCACTTCCGTCTGATCCTTATGTCCACGTAAGATAATATCCGAGGGCCCAGAGTTTAAGATGAATATATTTGGGAGAAAATATTACCTATTTTGTCGTTGAAAGCTCTGGGACAGTTAGATTCAACTTGGGAAGAAAAGAATGATATAGAAATGCATTACATGAAAGTCAGGACAATTATGGCTTAACCCTAGCAGAGAGACTTGGGAAAATGAGCTCTTAGTAAATCCCTTCACCTCTTCAGGCCTCCCTTGCACAGCATCAGGGCTACACTCCATGATTCTAGGTGTGCAGAGCTACGTAACTCCAGTATGTGTGGTGCCTCTGTCCTCACTCAGGATGTTGCGTGGCCCTCATAAGTTCAGATATGCAACCCAGCTCAATAAAAAAAAAAAAAGGTATCAAGATCCCATATCCAGCCTCTCTGGAAGAAAATGGGCTTCTTGATGCTAATGTCTTTCTCTGTAGGCTTTCCCCTTATGTGGTTTATCCAAATTTAAACCCCCAAATAATCTCCCAGCCCAAATCTAAGCAACTGCCCATAATAGTACAGTAAGCTACTTATTACCTACCCACTTTCTAAAGTACGGGAAAGAGCTGAAATTATTGTCCAGGCATCTGTTGCAAGTCTATTGTATTCCGGATAACTTAGTCACACGTAAGCCTAAACAAAAACTTCAGCCACAGTGCTCCTAAACTGCACATTCATTTAGACTGAGTTCCAGTCTAAATAATAAGGTCTAATAAAGGACTTACGTCATGGTTGCGTTTCTCTCAGCGTAGCTCAGAGCCCAGCCAAATGTAGGAGATGGCATGAATCTCCTGCATAAGCTTCACCAAGCGTGTGGCTGCTTTGTGGTACTTGGGGCATATCAAAAATTCATGGATGAGACTGGAAGCACAGACAACGAAGGTATTTGTGTGGTTTAGGGAGTATTGATATGAACACACTGAAAATTTAACTGCAGAGGGCTTTTGGTATTGCCACAGGCTTTCTTGTTTTTCAATAGCTTTTGAAATATGAACAAAACAAAAGAAAAAAATTGATAGAGAAAAGAAAAACTTTTTAAAAATGAAAAAGTGATCTTGAAGACGGCTCTAAAGCAGGGATGCCAAGAGACACGAGTGTCCACAGTTGCACACAATTAACAAAGCGTCTTCAGATGAGAACGCAACAACTGCTGTTTGGTTTGATTTTTACTAAAGCTCTGGCGGCCTCTATTGGTAAAATAGAGAATTGCAGCGTCTGCAGTGAAGTAACCTTTTCAGGTGTGCTTTGGAATTAAGACGTTAAACTTCCTAAGGCTGTTGCGTATCTCTTTCCTTTCTTGTTGTTTCTTTGTTTGGCCAAATGTCTTTACTTCTTCCATTCCATCCGATGTTACATCCCTTAATTGCTGTTTTTAAAGTCAGGAACCCTTTATTATCCCAGAAATTAGGTCAATTTCTGCATTCTTAGCACACTCGGATTTCAGCTTAATTCTTCGGTAAAACAAACACCCCAAATTCATTAGGCCCTTCTTTAAAAGTGTAGTTTACACCAGAGCGGCTAGTCTGGCATTTAAATATACTGAAATTCTGAGATGTATCTCCCACAGTACCCCCACAGTTTCGGTTTTCAAAATAAACCCAATTCCAGGCAAACACCAACCTTGAAATTCTGTCACAGGCAAACACCAACCCTTGGAATTCTGCTAATCTGCTAATTTAAGGGGAGATGGAGCTCAGCTTTGAGTATTCGGAAAGGATTGATTGTCATTTAGTTTAAAGAAAAAAAAGGTGTCACTATTGGGTTGACTGAATGATTTCAATATCAACGTGAAAGGGAGAATGGCGTGGGGGGGGGGGAGCCAGAATAAGAACGAAAGAAAGCATACTCACTCCGGCCATAAGAGAAAATAAAAGGTCAAGACCGCTCCTTCTGCAACTGGGGAGAAGAAAAGAGGGAGTTAACTCTTGGAAGCTGCCTCCCCCTGGGTGGCGCGCGGGGTTCAGCACCTCGGAAAGCACCCCCTTCTACATGGGGGATTACGCATGCTCTTTGGGGCTCTCGGCAGAGGCTCTGTGAGTGCGAACGTAACTCCAGTAACTCTGTTAAGTCACTTGCGGGTGACAATATTGGACAAATAGAAAACACCAACGGAGCTCCAGGCAGTGACGGCGTGAATCAACCTCCAGGCAGTCAGAGTGAGACACGGATGTTCCCGATCTCTGTTTTTCTCTAAAAGGAGAGAATTTCGTCCGGGCAACAGCAGAAGCCGACAAAGGTACTGGGAAGAGAAGCGGTAGGAGACCTGTGCTCTTGAGCAGGGGTGTGTGTCTAGTGACAACAGGGAAAAGGAAGACCCTTGATCCGGGCCACTTTCCTGGAACTGCCCTCCGTTAGGACCTGATGCTGAGCTCAGACAACCCTTGAGCCCAAGGCGGTTCTGGGTGCGAGGATTTGGCTCAGCATCCTCTTTCCAGGTGTTGTCTTCAGTGGCTTCTTAGAAAGCTCCTTGGACCCCTTGGGTACCACACCCGGAGCGAGAGGTGCCTCTCGGATAGTTGGTCCGCAGAACATGACCCAGAGGCACCTGCGCGCGCAGGTGGCTTCTGCAACCACAGCCGCCACCATGAGTAAGGCTGCTGCGGGTGATGAGCTTTCAGAATTCTTCAGCCTCACCCCAGACTTGCTGGAGGTTGCCAACACGAGCAATAACGCGTCGCCGCAGCTTCCCGACTTGTGGTGGGAGCTGGGGCTGGAGTTGCCTGATGGTGCAGCGCCCGGGCATCCCCCGGGCAGCGGCGGGGCAGAGAGCGCAGACACTGAGGCCCGGGTACGGATTCTCATCAGTGCGGTTTACTGGGTAGTTTGTGCCCTGGGACTGGCCGGCAACCTGCTGGTTCTCTACCTGATGAAGAGCAAGCAGGGCTGGCGCAAATCTTCCATCAACCTCTTCGTCACTAACCTGGCGCTCACTGACTTTCAATTCGTACTCACTTTGCCCTTCTGGGCAGTGGAGAACGCTCTAGACTTCAAGTGGCCCTTCGGCAAGGCCATGTGTAAGATAGTGTCCATGGTGACGTCCATGAACATGTACGCTAGCGTCTTCTTTCTCACTGCTATGAGCGTGGCGCGCTACCACTCTGTGGCCTCCGCTCTGAAGAGCCATCGGACCCGAGGGCTTGGCCGTGGCGACTGCTGCGGCCAGAGCTTAAGGGACAGTTGCTGTTTCTCAGCCAAGGTATTGTGTGGATTGATATGGGCTTCTGCCATGTTAGCCTCGCTGCCCAATGTCATCTTTTCTACCACCATCAGGGTGATGGGCGAGGAGCTGTGCCTCATGCATTTCCCCGACAAGCTGCTAGGCTGGGACAGGCAGTTCTGGCTGGGTTTGTACCACCTGCAGAAGGTGTTGCTGGGCTTCCTGCTACCGCTGAGTATCATCAGTCTGTGTTACCTGTTGCTAGTGCGCTTCATCTCGGACCGCCGCGTAGTGGGGACGACGGATGCAGCCGGAGTCGCAGCGGCTGGGGGAGGCCTGAGTGCAGCCAGCGCTCGGAGGCGGTCCAAGGTCACCAAGTCAGTGACCATCGTAGTCCTGTCCTTTTTCCTGTGTTGGCTGCCCAACCAGGCGCTCACCACCTGGAGTATCCTCATCAAGTTCAACGCGGTGCCCTTCAGCCAGGAGTACTTTCTGTGCCAGGTGTACGCGTTCCCAGTCAGCGTGTGCCTAGCACACTCTAACAGCTGCCTCAACCCGATCCTCTACTGCTTAGTGCGCCGCGAGTTCCGAAAGGCGCTCAAGAACCTGCTGTGGCGCATCGCGTCGCCTTCGCTCACCAGCATGCGCCCCTTCACCGCCACCACCAAGCCAGAGCCGGAGGACCACGGGCTGCAGGCCCTGGCGCCGCTTAACGCCGCTGCAGAACCTGACCTGCTCTACTATCCACCCGGTGTAGTGGTCTACAGTGGGGGACGCTACGACCTGCTGCCTAGCAGTTCGGCCTACTGAGACCTGCCAAGGCTCAAGAGGGCCTTCCACCGACAAGGAGAGGGGAGAGCAGTTTGGGGGCTGGAAGAGCGGGATTGAAGAAAAAAAGTAGGAAAGGAATGTTGCTGGAAAGGGCAGACTGTGAAAAGGCCAAAGGACATTCTCAGCAGAAATCAGGTTAAGGGAGAAACATCCTCACCTGGTAGAGCCAGCAGCCTCGGCTCAGGCTCCCCACTCCCCTATCCCTTACTCCAGCTCCCACTCCCCTACCCGGCCTGTTGATCGCTGTGGGACACCTAGGAGCCATGGGAAGTGGAAACAGCACTGGGAAGCAGAAAGACTGGGTTGCTCAGGAGCTGGGCTTAGCTAAATTATGTCCAGACCAGGGATCATTTGGCCCAGAGACTTTTATGGAGAACTTTATGGGGCCTCAAAGCAAAATTCCACAGGGTAAGTTGCCCACAAAGCCCGCCTAAATGCCCTTTGATCTGCTAGACTGTCCCAAGCAAAGATCTAACTTGTCGTGACTCTCTGGAAAACGGAAAATGAGAACTAGAATCTTTTATCCTTTATCATCCTGGACAGGACTAACATGCACAAGCTGACCCTCATCTCTCTGCTGTGCCTCTGAGCACAAATGTCACCCATGCCACTGGGAGTCTCTAGGAAGGGGTACAAGAGAGAGTGCTGTGGTTAGAAGGAATGATATAGAAAAGCTTTTTCATGATGCAGCCCCTAAAAAAGGGGGGGGACTAGATACAGAGTGGGAAGTGTAGTGTCTCCTTTGAAAGCCTGGGTACCCAGAATCTGTTGAGGACAGTATGGATACCTGGCGCTTTGGTCTATTGCTGCAGGTGAGGCAGCATGCACCCTGAACGCTCTTCTGAGAGTAGGGGTGCTTTAGCAACCCCCCACACTCTTTGGGAATGGACTGACAGATGAGAAACTACCTAAGTAGCAGAGAGAGGGATGGCTCGGTGCTGTTTGGGACTTAGAAGAGCAGGAAATGTTGTCCTCTAGAAATTGGGGTTTGATCTTTCCAAGGGGGAGGGAGGATTCAAGTAAAATCTATCCTAAAGAGAAAAAAGGGACCGTTCCCAACAGCCAAATATATGAGTGAAGCTATGTAGTTGACAGAAGGAAAGACTTGGAATTTGAGTAGAAGACTGGCGAACCAAGTTCCAGGTACTCTTGTGTGTTTTGTTCATTGTGCATGCAGGCCAGCCAGAGGGCTGTCTCGAAGGAGTGAGTAGACTCCTCAGTACTAGTCACAGGGTAAGAGACTGCTCTGAGAACTGAGATCAACCCCTTCCTCAACCAGGGTCAATAGAGAGGCTCCTTTTCTATTTGCCTTGGTCTGGGGTTAAGGGATCAGTAGAGCAGGCACCTCACACTGTGGTGTGGTCACTTTCTGAAGTCTCACCAGAAAACCACAGCTGCTTAAATGGCCTCCTGAATGATAAGACTGCTTGGTAATTTTGTCAACATTGTACTCTTATATGTGAGACTTAAAGCTTAGTCTATGGGATCTGCGTGCCTGCCATCAAAACCACATTTTCTGCAACACAGCTCCAGGCACTCAGATACCTTCCCACAAAAAGAACAAAAGCAAAGCAAGCCCTGAGGCCTTGTTCTGAAGCAGTCACACCAGGCCTCCTTGGCATGGTGGCATTATTAATGCTGGCATTATTGACTAGCAACCAGGCTGGCACCTGTTGGAATGTGAGCCCCCAGGGCTCTGTGCTGGCTAATTTTATGTCACTTTGACACAAATTAAAGCTGACTGAAAGGGGAGAACCGCAATTGAGAAAAATGACGGTGTAAGATCCAGCCGTAAGACATCTTCTTAATTAGCCATTGATAGGGGAGGTCCCAACCCATTGTTGACTGATGCTATCCCTAGACGGGTGGTCCTGGGCTCTTTAAGAGAGCAGGCTGAGAAAACCATGTGGAGCAAGCCAGGAAGCTGCACCACTCCATGGCCTCTACATCAGCCCCTGCCTCCAGGATTCTGCCCTCTTTGAATTCCTATTTTGGCTTCCTTTAAGGATGAACTACAATGGCAAATAAACCCTTTTCTCTCCAACTTGCTTTTTGGAGTGTTTTGTTGCAGCAATAGAAACCCTAACTAACACATGTTCCAATTTGCAAAATAGATAAAAGGGTCAACATAAGAGGAAACAGACAATACCACGTCCACGTACAGCATCGGTATTAGACTGTTCCTGGAAGATTAACGTCACTTGCTGTTCTAATTTTGAGAGTGCTATTGTTTGTGGATAGCTCGGAATTCTTAAGCAAAAGTACTGATGTGTTTGTTTCTGCTGTGGGCATTACAGAAAGAGAAGAAACTGAGCTGGGGCTAGGACTTCATGCAAATCTCTGTAAAAGGAGCCACTCTGTTCAAATCCAAGGCTGAGGGCTTCAGAGAACACCACAGGGAGAGTAAAAGACTATGAATTCTGTCCACTCAAAGACAGAACTGCAGGAGGTGGCTGGGCAGCCCCTCTGTGAGCCTGCGGTTAGGGCAAAACCCAGCACAGCCCAGACTTCACAGTTAGAACAGACAGCCAGAGAGTCAAGCAAGACAATGCTTAGAACAATGATTTGGACATTACATTGAGGCTACAATAAAAGAAAGGGGTATGAGAATCCAGGAAGAAAAGACAGATTTTGCTCAAAATAATATTTGAGCCGGGTCTAGGTAATGTGGATGCAATGTTGACAAAGATGCTGAGGGTGGTGGGGAAGGGGAAGCAGAAAGCAAACAGTGGACCTTCCCTTTATCTGTTAGGAGTTCCCTGGATTACTACTGAAAATGTTTACACTCCTACATTAATTTTGTCTAAAGTTAAGATGCTTTTTGGTCAGAGTGAATTTCATTTGTCAAAGAAAATAAAAATCGGGGTTTTCAGAGGTGGTTAAAGGCTTTTAAAAATTGGATTATGTCCACTCATGCAAACTTAATGGAACTGAGTTCGATGGGTAAAGTATTTATATGTGTGTATAGGTGTGTGTATGTGTATGTGTGTGTGTGTGGGGAGAGAGAGAGAGAGAGAGAGAGAGAGAGAGAGAGAGAGAGATTGCTGATTGCTCTAGGTCCTTACCTTAGTTCAGTACTCTATCAAATGTTGCCAAATCAACATTGTACATTGATATAGTAATATTTATTGCTTCTTGTGTTAGCCTTTTTTCTCCAAACAATGATTCATTGATGTTTGGTCACTTGTAATAAAGTCCATGTCTTGTGACTGATCAGTGGTGACCGTGTTTGACTTCTTTAAGGTCCAAGTAGCATAGCCCTCAAATGAAGGACATTCCCAGCTGACCCATTCATTCATTCCCAAGCCTTCAAAGACCAAAACATGTCCCTGGAATTACACTTAAAAATGACATGGAACTCTCCAGGTTCCATATAAACCTTGTAGAGGTGAGCATATGTAGTCTGAGTTTTCCTGTCTCAATCCCCTGTTCCCAAACAACCAGCAGCCACTTTTCAAATAACTGACTCAGAGACTTAATATAATTTATAAATGCTCGGTTGATAGCTCATGCTTGTTGCCACCTAACTCCTACATTTAAATTAACCAATAATTCTTAACTATGTTTTGCCACGTGGCTCATGGCTTGCTACCTCACTTTCTGTACATCTGGCTTCCTTGGTAGCTGTCTGGGGTCCCCTCTGACTCTGTGCTTCCTTATCCCAACATTCTCAGTTTGGCTTTCCTGCTTAACTTTATCCTGTTCGGCTATTGACCAATCAGCTTGTTTATTAAGCTAATCACAGTGACATATATTTACACGATGTACAGGAGGGTTATTCCACAGCAGGTATAAGTAGGAAGAGTGATAGCTTGGTCTGCTTCTTTTATGAGGATAATGGACACAGGACCTCTTAGAAGCTGCTCGTCACTGCCTCACGCTACAGAGTTCAGAGGAGGTGCTGCTTCCCGGGGTCACATGTCTAGTCTGTCAAGTTTTCAGTTCTCTAGCATAGATCATGGTGGTTGGGATAAAAGCTAGGACAGTTGGGGTGACTTTATGTACACCCCCTAAGAAAATGAGATGATTTCCTCATGGGCCAGGTACATTTGGAGTTGTACAGATGATACCTAACAAGGGCCGCAGAAAACCTAAGAAGGGGCGTGGTGAGGAGGGCTTGCCAACAATGGCCAGGGCATTCATTGAGCACTGATGACATGCCAGCCATCTGCCTGCGCTTGCTCTTCCCCGGAAGCAGGAGAGTCAAGGCCCTGGATCCAAAGCCCAGCTCTGCCACTTGTGAGTTGGGGGGCTTCAGATGAGCTAACTCATGGCTTTTTGCCTCTGTTTCCTCATCTAAAAGTGAAGAACAGCCAAAGTACCCATGGTCAAAAGTGCTGTATCAACCAAGTTTAAATCTTTGCAACCATGGGAAGGACTCCCCAAGTGTTAGGCACCAATTGTTACAAAGTTTTGAGAATGGAATTCATCATACCAAATGCATACATGAGCATGTGTGGTTTGGGGATATTAACTACATTGCCACTGAGTACAAAAGAAAGGATCAAAACTAGGCGGGCTCTGAAGTTCATGATTAGTTTTCCTATTAAATAATGTGGTCTCTCAGTATGGTATCAATGCAATCTCTTCAGGTTGCTAAAAATTCCCCACATGGGAGCCCACTGAGGGGTTTAACTAAAGAAAAGGTGCTTAGTTGGGGTGGGACAGAATATCTTAGGAGGAACCCAGAAATTGTTTCTTGAAAGTGTCAATTCCAGAGGATGAAATGACAATAAAAGATTCAAGAAAAATGTGTTTACTGCATCGATGAAACAGATGAACACTCTTAAGTTGCACAGCTTCCAGAAGGAAACACTCCAAGCACATCTGATAAGAGTGTCATACATTAACCGGAACTAATTTTGAGCAAATTAAATGTGAATAAATCAACACCATAAAACAATCAGCAATATTTAAGTATTTCTGAATTTGTTGAAGTATGTGATTTCCAGTGATATACAGACTGCTTTTTAAAAATCAGATTTTAACACCACAGGTAGGATTGATTTGCTCCTCAGAAGTTATCCAGGCCGGAAATGACCTTGAGAAATGGAAGCCGACTTTCCCTATCCCTGCATCTAAAAGCAGGTGGCAAGGAAGATGCAGTGAGGCGGGCAATCCTACCACACTCACCTTTCCCATGTGTGCATGCAACGTGAAATTCCAGCACGGGATATACAGTTCCTCAAGGCGAAAAGTCCAAGAACATACTGGGTTCTTGCCACAAGCCTCACCTCCTCGTTTGTCCGAGGTTTGAGCCGATGCCTCTTTTTAAACCTAATCTACATATCTAACAAAGAGAGCCACAAAGCAACAGCCTATCAGTGCCACTGCAGAGGCTGTGATCACCACCACAATGACACTCCCAGCCATGTTGACCAGGAAGCCCAGACCAACTCCAACCAAGATCTGAGCCAGCTGCACCATGGAGGTGAGGGCAGCACAGTCCACACCTTTGCCTCTTCCACTGTTCTCAGGGGCTCCTGGGGCTCCCCGCTGCTTCTGCAAGAGAAACACAGGGACAGATGTTGATCGACAAGGCACTGTCCTGGGGGGGGGGGGTCAAGGGTCAACTTACTTTTCCTGGGAAAATTCCAATGGTAAGTACCTTTGTGTCTCATGGGATCTTGGTTGGAACTGACTGTGAGCTCACAAATCAAGAACAAGTTCATGTAAGAACAAACTACATTCCAATGCAACCTTATTAGATTCCGTGCCTTTTTTATACATCACAAAACAGCATCCTTCTTTGAATTTATTTCAATCTTTTAAAAACTTAAGAGGGATTATCATAAACTATTTGAAAACAAACAGTAGGCTGTGCTTGACCAGCAGGCCATAGTTTTCTCACTCCTGATTGAGGGACTCCAGGGAACTCCATTGTTGCTGTCTTCCTTATTTACAAGGAAGCCTTTTCCTCCAACTTTAATGAGCATAAGGCTCAAACATGAACGTGGTCAGGATTCTCTTTGTAAGACGTGCATGAATACAATGTTGCAGAAACTCAACAAAGTGTCCATTCACATATTTTTGTCTACCTTGGTGTTAAAAAAGGCAAGTGGTTTCAAAAGAATGCTAAATTACTTTTAAACATAGGAGAAACAAGTTTCAACCACTTCTTAGCATGGTTATTTGGTTAATATGTTAACACTTGGTAGATATTTGGCCCCTGTCCATTCACATTGCCATTTGGTGTCTCTTACATACATGCAAGGCCTTGCGCAAGGCTGTGTTGCAGTTGGGATTTTATTTTGTTATTAGCATTCACCTAGAGCAGATGTTGCTATCACTGTCTCCAGGACAATAACTCTAGCTGTCATTTTTGGAGTTCTGTGAGGTATTAACTAGGTATTATGCTGAGCACAGTACACACACACACACACACACACACACACACACACACGTATACAATCTTTAGTTTCCCACTCACTTTAGGAAGTGAATGTTACTAATCTCTCTTGACTGATAAGGGTATCTGGTGTCTGAATGATCATTCCCTTTACTTGTGAGCAAAATAAGCCTTGGTAATCAGATAGTTAGGAGTCACAATCATGGTCCTAAAACTCAAAAAGTGCTCCATGGTTCACAGCAAGGAGGAGGGAAGAACTCAGCTAGGCTGGTTGTCATGTCTGCGTGATGATAATAGTTTATGCAGTCTTCTTCCAAATTCTCCCCTCCCCCGCCCCATTCCTCAGGTAAATTCCCTTTGCTACCCACCTCCTTCTCCTCTTCAAGGTGGTACTCGGCAATGAGGTTAAAGGGCACAGTGTACAATGTACTGGACATCACACCAAACATAGAACAGAGGGCCAGGGTAGAGTAGACATTTGGAAAGAGTCCTATGAATCCTGTTCCCAGGCCAAAGAGCAAATATCCAATGAAATAAAGGCCCTTTAATCCGATGTAGGAAACCAAAGCTTTATGAAAGTCTGTTGAGAGAATATATAGGAAAAATTACAGCTGGCAGGTGCCTCACAATATCTAATAATTTCAGATAATCCTTTCTTTTGAAGATGCATTTTTTTAGACAGCTTCCTTTGATAATAAGTCAGGAACAAAACACTTCCTTATCTGTGTGCAAGAAACAGCTGGGTTTGGCGATCAATTTTAAAGCCTTTGCATAAAAGGCAGCATAAAATTGCCTTGCTGGTTTATTGTCCATAGAAGAGAACCAGGTACTTTTTAGCAGTCAGCCAAATATCAAAAGAATATGAAAAAGAAGAGGCACAAAAGCAGACCTTGGTGATGGGACCCAGAGGATGAAAGACATAGAGGAAGAGTCAAGTCCATTCTGATGAGAGGGTTCTGGTCCCAGTGGACCCAATGGACCATGTGTGCCTATCCTGACCCTACCGCCCAAAGTCAGGTTGGGAAAACAATCAGGTTTTGCAGAACCATTCAAATCATTCTTAGTTTCTTAATCCCAACCTAAAGGCAGTCTGCACAGGTAAGAAAGTTGTGAGGTTCTCTGCAGACATTTTCCCCACCCTGTCAATCACACAAAGGCTGTGAAAGGGTTCCTACAGTTCCCCCATGACGGAGACAAGTTTCTTCTTTGCTCATCATCTCATCTTTCTTACCTAAAACAATGGAAGTAAAATGTTAGTTGGAATCAAATGAGGTGAAATATATGAAAAATCACCCAGTCCACTATAGGACACATAGAAGATATTCAGTTCATGTGACCAACTGCAGGGTGGGCCAAAGATAGCTAACTTTGGACTTGGTCCTTCTCTTAGCATACACTTTGCACATACAAATAAAAAAATACAGAGGCTGGGCTATCCCTCTTCTACTTTAGTCTACTGGTCCACATTAGCCAGAGAATAAATAATAGATGCTTGAGATGCGCCTATTAAGAATAAAATGTTGCTCAGCCACTGGAATTATTATTGAACTTACGCTTCACAGACAGGAAACAAATCTGTATCATATTTGAATCAATTTCAAAACAAAACACTGTCTTGGGTCACTGGGAAAGACAAGCTGCAGAAATGGCAAGCAGACAACATTACTTCCCCTATCAGATGCAATCCATGTCTGGAGCGCCGTTGCTAAGACTTGAGAATGGAAGCAGTGTAAAGCTAGGTCAATTTCAGAATAACCCCTGACAAGCCTGTTTGTTTAATGGTTTATATTTATGCAGAAAATGTAGTCTAAGGTGTCTCGGTGCTCAAAAGATATCAGCAATGCATAGCTCCTGGCTAGGTGTGTACAGCAAGTCAAAGAGAAGCAAAGAAAGATAAAGAAATACTTGAACATATCTATAACAACAGCTCAAAGGTTGAAAGTCTGGCTTACAGTGCTTTATGCATGAAAAGAAGTCAATACATCTCAGGGACAAAATTCCCTTGCCTCTGCTGCCTATGATACCAGGGTGGGCCACATCCTCAACAGTACTGCCTTTGTAGTGGGAAGAAATGACTGAGTTCAACATTAGTCATGAGCATTAGTATAGGATAGGGCAGGCAGCTACGTCTCCGCGCTCAGTTCTTGCAGTAACTGCTAGAAGGCTGTCTCTTGGCTGTGTGGATGGAGATGAGATCAAGTCCAGTTCTCTGTCACCACCCCACCCAGGGATCCAGGTTGACCTGTGGAGCTCTGTGGAGCTGGAGACGCTGGAGAGCTACAGATTTGCTAAATCACCTATGAAATCCACAAACCATCTATGGAATCACGAGGGGTCTTGCTCCAGCAGAACACGGAGCTGCTGGAATTCACATCTCACCTGTCCAGTATCTCACCATCTTACTCACTGAATCCCCTTTTGTTTTCTAAAAAAAATATTCCCCAGAGACCCACTGATTCCAAGCACAATTCAAGGGCAATGACTCCTAGACTGACTATGGAAAATGACACTGCCCATGGTCCTCTCTACAGGAATAGCTTTTCCATATTTCCTAAACATTATCAAGAGTCTAATAAAGAGAAGAAAAGAGATTCTGAAGTATAAAATCTGGGTCCTGCTGCCAGCCTGTGGAAGGCTTTCTTAGGAAAAGAACTTACACGAATAAAGTGAAGAGAACAGGGAGTTGATGCACAAGCCCCAGCATCCAATCTCAACTCCTCTCTCATAGATGAGGAACTCTGTGGAGTTGTGGGAACTGTAGGGATCCCCATGGTACACAATCTGAAAGAGAGGGGCCAGCAGTTGAGTAAGGAGCGCAGGATGGCACAGCACTTCTCGTGCTCCTCAACCCTTGGAGAAAGGAGCCCTTCATCAGGTGCAGAGTCCAATCAGACACCACCAGGTCACTGTATTCATCTACTATGCCTCCTTCAAGGGCCTTCATGATAAATAGTTATGAATCAAATATAAATAACATTTCTGTGGGGTGATCGTTAATGGTCCTCCCTCTCATCCTAACTCCTGGCCCCACCTGACTTAATCCCATTCTCTAGTACAGCTAACACACTTCCTACTCACCTCTGCCTATAGTAGGGAGTCCACTTCTTTGTTCCCAGCTGCTCAGCCCCAAAATAACCACACAGAAACTGTACTAATTAAATCACTGCTTGGCCTATTAGCTTATACATATTTATAGATTACTCTTATATCTTAAATTAACCCATTTCTATTATTTTATATTTTACCACAAGGCTCATGGCCTACCAGCAAGCTTCCAGCTAGCAGCTCACATCTTTCCCCTCTGGTGGCTACATGGCATCTCTTGACTCCGCCTTCTTTCTCCCAACATTCAGTTTAGTTTTCCCCACCTAGCTCTCCTCTGCCCCATCACAGGCCAAGCCAGATTCTTTATTCATTAACCAATAAAAGCAACACATATACAGAAGAACCTTCCACACCATCTGCCCACACCCTTCCTATTCCCACTTAGAATTCTTTCTTGTCCTGTTTTATCTCTGAAACTCTGAGCCATCCCTCAAGGCTGGGATCATGCCACATATCTCTTTTATGAAGCTTGACATGAGCTCTGAAGATCATACTTACTCTTGTCTAGTTGTTATATTTGACCACACAGTGGTAGATCTCAGAGTATTTAGTTTTACAGGGTGTAGAAGCCTACTTCTAGAATATATCTGTAAACCAGTCCTCGAAGGCACCCTTGGCTGTATCTATTCCAAAGGCCTGACAGAAGAAGCTCCCAATGAGTGTGTAAACATAAGACACAAGTTTACCTGTCCCATGAAATCTGTGAAGAAGAGCATGTTTGACAGGAAGGCTGTCCATCCAATGAGGTGGCTGATGCAAAGGCAGCGATAATGGGAAGGCATGTTCACTAACGTCCTCAGAAGTGACTTCATTGACATTGCCCTCTGACTCTGGAAAAAAGCATGAGTCTTCAGCATAGGTGCCCAGGCAGCAGAAGGAGTCAGAGCAAGTACCATGTGACATCTCTGTCACTTGTCTATCATATGACATCACATGTAGGTTTCCACAGGACAAACTTATTGATAATGTGATGTGGGAGTATCATATATCAATATGTTGATTTCATTGGTTAAGCAATAAAGAAACTGCTTGGCCCTGATAGGTTAAAACGTAGGTGGGAGGAGTAAACAGAACAGAATGCTGGGAGGAAGAGGAAGTGAGCTCAGAGACACCATGTTCCCGCTCCCGGGCAGATGCATGTGATGAAGCAAGCCGCCAGGTCAGACATGCTGAATCTTTCCCGGTAAGACCGGTGCTACAGTTTATTAGAAATGGGTTGATCGGGATATCAGAATTAGCCACTACCGGCTAGAGCTAATGGGTCAAGCAGTGTTTAAAAAAATACAATTTGTGTGTTGTTATTTCGGGGCATAAGCTAGCAGGCAGCCGGGGTGCTGGGGACGCAGCCCCGCCGCTCCTATTACTACAATAATGTGCTGTTAAAAATGAATGACTACTTAGCAGTTAGAGGTCCATAAATAACGTTTAAAACCTAAGGCTGGAGAGTTCAGGGATGGAGCTCCACTCATTGCAAGGCATAAGTGACAGCTGACACTCTGTCTTTAAATGGTATTCCTGCAAGAGGACAAAGCCCATGGGCCTAAACTGTCCCTTAGATAATTACTACTCTTAGAACCTGGTAGGCTAATTCAAGGTGAAGTTCATGATCTCTTGTCTGGATGGTAGCTACAGTTATGTTTTCTTACTTTTAAAAAATGGATCTGGAAAATATGCTTAAGGTTACTAGTTAGTGGACCCTGAGGGAATTAACAGACAGTTACCTGGTTAATACTAGCTGAATCATACAAGTCCTTACAAAACAGAGGGTTGTTTTTGTACCGGCTGGGAACAGAAGCAGAATTCTGAGCAACTTCAAGCATGAGGGTTGAAAACAGAAGGGGTCACATGGAAAGGAGCTTGAGAGGAGCCCTTCACAGCTTCACAGTTCCTGGCCAATGATCCACAAGAAAATAGGGACCTTACTCTCACCCCAAAAGGAACAGGGCTCTGCCAATGACCTGAATGAGCTCGAAGACAGGTTCTGTGCAGCTGAAGCTCCAGATGAGAACACTACACTGTTGACATCATGACTGCAGGGATGTAGGACACTGAGCAGAAAACAAAACCACCAACACTTCTGACCTACGAAACTGTGAGATGATTGGTGAATGCTGTTCTAAGCTGCTACATTTGCAGCGATGTAAACTAGGAAGTTAACAGAGAGCCAGTCAGTTACCTTTGCTAGGTAGGTTCCCGCTCTCAGGTCACTCCTCTGTCTCTTGCCAGTGATGGGCAGGTATAAGTGAGCTTTACGGGTGCGTTAAAATGGGAACAGTATAAACACACACACATATAAAACACGAGTACTCATAACCCAGATCCCTCACTTTAGGGCTATGCATTAACAGCAGGGGCTGTTGATGGAGGAAGGTCATTGGTTAAATAAAAGGAAACTGCTTGGCCCTCATTGGTTAGAAGATAGGTGGGAGGAGTAAACAGAACAGAATGCCGGGAGGAAGAGGAAGTGAACTCAGACTCCACAGCTCTCCTCTCCGGAGCAGATGCCTCAGAGAGACACCATGCTCCCGGCTCCCAGGCAGACACATGCGATGAAGCAAGCCACCAGGTTAGACATGCTGAACCTTTCCCGGTAATACCGGTGCTCACAGATTATTAGAGATGGGTTGATCGGGATGTGAGAATTAGCCTGTAAGGGCTAGAGCTAAAGGGCCAAGCAGTGTTTAAATGAATACAGTTTGTGTGTTGTTATTTCGGAGCATAAGCTAGCCATGTGGGCAGCCGGAGTACTGGGGACGCAGCCCCACCGCCCCTTATTACTACAGGCTGTAATTATTATTATTATTTGGTTCCCACAAGCTTGAGAGAGCTGGAATTGACACCACTGATGATGTAGAAAGTCTTTAACATCTTGTCATATAAGAGAAGAAAGAATTAAGCAGTCAGCCTCGCTGAGCACGTCAAGTGAGTTGGGTTGGTGGCTCTTCTTCTTGAGTTTTTTAAAATTCTGGGTCTTGACATAATGAAATTGAAACCTAATTAGTAGAATTAAAGGTCTCCTGAGATTGTCTGTTTTCTTTATAATAACATATTGTCCTAAAGCTCCTTTTATCATCTATTGTCATATAGTACTGTATTATGGAATATGTGTTTTTACATAATTGGAAATGTGAGGAAAGGATCAATTTATGATAAGATAACCATTCACTCTGTTATGTTAAATGTCACATTCTTGGTTATTTTCTGCACATGAGACTTCTTTCTTGGCCTTGTTCTGTTCTAGAACTCTTTTAAAAATAATTTATTATTTTTTATTTTATGTGCATAAATATTGGTATTCAGTCTGTACGCATGTCTCTATGAAGATGTCTGATTCCCGAGAACTGGAGTTACTGAGTTGTGAGCTGCCAAGTGGGTGCTGGGAATTGAACCCATGTCCTCTGGAAGAGCAGACAGCACTCTTAACCACTGAGCCATCTCTTCAGCCCCCTGTTTTATAACTCTTAAACTTATCTGATACCTCTTTCTATTTCTATGTTGAAAATACTAGATTTATCAATTCCAGGCTCATCATATGGTTGATACTATCAGTTTCATCACCTTTGTTTGCATTTTGTATGTTGAGACAGGATCTCACATAGCTCAGGCTGGCTTTGAATTTTCCAGGTCCCTGAGGGTGAGAGAATGACCTTGAACTGCCCATCTTAACTTCCCCTCCTAAGTGCTGGGATTATAGATGTGTACCATCACACCCAGCTAACTCGACTCATCTTGTAGTATTTAACCCACTGGTGGGGACTATGTTAATTTTCTTATACATACATACATACACACACATAGCACTCTCTTACATACAAGAATATAGAACCTAAAATAAAAGATTACTGTAACAAACATGTAGAATTACTTATTCTTCTTCCTAGGGAAAGGTGGCTATTGTCCAGGGAAGGGCAGCTGACCACGCTTTTAACCAAGCATTCTCTTCATTTTGTTTCTCCTTTCACCCAAAAAGCACACGCTCGGGAAAATCAGTCTGGCAAGCGAGCATTCTGCCTCAGTCCAAATATTAATGGATCTTTCTTCTTTCCACATAATTTTCAGCGTTCTCCATTGTTAACCTAGTTTCTCCTTCCTTCCAAAAATAAATGTGAGCCTTCAAATTGAACTTAGCATTTCTGTAAAAGCTGGAAATATAAATATTCAGTTTTTAACTCAGAATAAAAAAAAAATCTACCTGGCATCTTACTTCTGACCCATTGGTTCCCTGAGAAAAGCCCTTCAATGGCTTGGAGGCCCTAGGAGTTGCCTTTGAGAGGGCCAGCGAGCCAGGCAAGGGCCACGACTGGCCCTGCTAGAAGCCCTCCAAGACCAGGCCTTAGTTTCAGTTTACTGGAACCAGCTGGAGCTGAGAAAGCAGTTCTCTGGGTAAACCACATCACAGGGGCAGCCAATCAGCAGGCAACCCATAGCCTTCTGCTCGCTCAGCAGAGAACTATAGCCTCCTGCTAGCTAAAGGGAGCTTTCCCTTCCCTGCTGCTGCAAAGTTCCTAACCATCAGGGCCGCCCACAGATCAACCCCAAGACGAATTATCTCCTCTCTGGAAACCCCAACCCATCTTAAAAGGGGCCCTGCAAGCCTCTCCAGCTGTCGCTGGTTGCCACCCCAACATGCTGGCAGGTTTTTATTATTATTATTAATAAACGTTTTTGCTGAATGTATACGTGACTGGCGGTCTTTTAAGGAACTTCTCGTGGATCTTAACAGTTTTATTGCGCAGACTCTACACCCATCCATCGGCTGGTGACTGGAGAGTGGTGGATTTGCAAGTGAACTCGCTTCAGGGTCCTCAGGAGGAAGACACACGAAAGCCTTCCCTGATGGAGGAAACGCAAATGTTGAGAAGATAAAAACAGTTTTGGCATGCAGGGATGGGAGATGGGTTTCTATAGGATCTAGTTTGAATTCCAAAACAGGTCAGGACTCTTTCTATTCAGAATTATAGTTCTAAATTATGCAGCCACCCTTGGTTTGGAATCAAGGACTGTGAGAAAGCTCGCTAGCTTTGACCTTGGCTTTGATCCAGGCCCTGACATGCACAGCCGGAGCATCCCTAGAAGAGCATGGAGAAGGGAAATGCATGGAGAAGGAAGGCTTTGCTAGGAGCCCACGATGCCTTCTCTGCTACTTCTTCGTTAGTTTCTTTTACAATCCTTTTTTTTTTTTAGCTTTGCCCACTTTGATGTATTTTTTTTTATTTGTCTTGGAACAGGTCTTATTTACAGAAGCCCTGGCCTGGAACGGGTACATAGACCTGTGCAGATCTGATCTCACAGCAATCCAGCTTCCTCTGCCTCCTGAGCGCTGGGGTTAAAGACATGGATCACCACACCTGGTCTAGCTTGTCTCTTAAGCCAAACAACAAAAACCATTCAGATTCTGAAGCTTGTATATGAACACACTGCTGTTGTTTGCCTCATTTTTCTTCTTGTTATTCAACTGAAAAACACTGTTTGACGTGTGCTGCACGATGATTGGGAATATGAATACACCATGGAATAACTGGAGAGGATTAAGTGACTGTGCCTCGTTGACTGCATTTATCTTTTGTTTTCCCTCTCCCTCTTGCTTCCTCCCCTTTCCATGTTTCTGCTTCTCTCTCTCTCTCTTTCTTTCTCTCTCTCAGAATGAAAAAAAAAAAACAAAACAAAAAAATGAAAATCAAAACCAACATATCAAACAATAGGATAAAAAGTAACAAAGCAAAACAAAATTAAAAAAAAAAACTTGCACACACACTAACCCCAACCAAAACAGCAACAAAAACCATGGAGCCCCTCATTTGATGAGTTCCTTTTGGATGGTAATTGATTA